TTTGTTCCGTTACGCTTTCCGTTGCTGCGGCTGGTGTGGTATGCGTGTGTGTGCGTGTGTGTGTGTGTGTTGAGCACCATATGGCCACCTGTTGGCTGACCTTCAGTTTCTGTTTAACCTTTGCCAAGAGTCCCCACTCTGCCTGCAATGGAGACCAGCTGCAGGAGCGGACAGGGGACAGGCACTGGGCCAGAGAGGGCATCCGATCGCAGCGGCTGGGGTGACCAGGTCGCAGGCGGGCCTGTGTCTAAGCCAGCAGTGAATCTCAGGACTTTTTAAAAAAATATATATTTTTATTGATGTCAGAGAGGATGGGAGAGGGAGGGAGAGAGGGAAGCATCAGTGATGAGAGAGATCGTGCATCGGCTGCCTCCTGGCACGCCCCCCACTGGGGATCGAGCCCATGACCCGGGCCTGTGCCCTTGACCAGAGTTGAACTGTGACCTGGTTCATAGGTCGACGCTCAACCACAGAGCCCTGCTGGCTGGCGCATCTCAGGACTTTTTTTTTTTTTTTTTAAATATATTTTATTGATTTTTCACAGAGAGGAAGGGAGAGGGATAGATAGCTAGAAACATCGATGAGAGAGAATCATCAACCAGCTGCCTCCTGCACACCCCCATACCAGGGATGTGCCCGCAACCAAGGTACATGCCCTTGACCGGAATCGAACTTGGGACCTTTCAGTCCGCAGACCAACACTCTCTCCACTGAGCCAAACCGCTTTCGCACATCTCAGGACTTTTGCAGGCACTTCCGGAGCACGGTTCTCCCTGCTGCGCAGTGCGGGTAGAGGGTCAGACCGTCACGCTCCTTCCTGCTGTGCGGGCTGCGAGCCTCAGAGGGCATCTCCCGAAGAAGGGGAGACAACACCTAAGAGAAGCTGAGCCCTGACTGAGCCGCAGCCGCACCACGGCGGGTGCCCTCGGCCGGGAAGGCAGCGGGAACGGAGCTTCTCTTGTGACCGAAGAGGTGCTGACAGGTTCCTCTTTTGCCTAACCCTTGCCCAGGGCTGTGATTGTTACTGGTGTTTAGAGTGGGCGGGAGGGAAGGAGGGAGAGAGAAACACCCATTGGTTGCCTCTCTTAGGAGCCACGACTGACCGGGATCGGACCTGCAGCCCCTTGGTCTACCTGACGACGCTCCGGCCCACCAAGCCACCCAGCCAGGACCCGACACTCGTTTTTAAAAGCGGCTGTGGCCTTCCTGGGAACCGCGTCTGCAGAACCTGCTGGTGGAGGAGATAAGGGGAAGTGTGGAGAGAGGAGCGCTCAGCCTGCTGTGAGGGCCTGAGTGCCAGGCGCTGTTGTAGACACTGGGCGACAGAGGGCGCTAACGAGCGTCGGAATCCTCACACTCGGTGCAACCCAAGCAGGAGCGGGTCAACTCTGCTGGCCACCAGCAGAGGGCAGTAGTAGTCTTTATTTTTTTATTTTTTATTTTTTATTTAGCAGCATATTGGATTTGGGGATAAATAGAAGTACCGCCACCTCTTGAACCCAGGCCTTCTCTGTGGCGTCGCTGTGTGGCCTGTCTGTTGATTTCCCGTTTGTCAGGGGGTTGTTGGCTGGCGAAGGGGGCTCCTAGCTAGACAGCCCGCGTACCAGGGGCTCTGGGAAAGCGAGCTCATGGCTCTTGGAGAGAGGAGACAATTGTTTCAAGACGCCCGGAGTGACTCGGCTAGAATGAGCCAGAATTCAGAATTCAAAAGCCTCCGAGTTCGCCTACCTCACGTCTAGAAACGACACGGGGGAGGGAAGCCAGGGAATGGAGGAGGGTTCAGGGGCGGGTGGGAGGACCAGGCTCCTTTCACATGCCTCTGAGAGCGGCTTGGCCGTGCCCTGCCTGCGTGGCTCAGGGGCTGAGCATCGACCTATGAACCAGGAAGTCACCATTCGACCCCCGGTCAGGGCACACGCCTGGCTTGAGAGCTGCATCCCAGCCCTAGTCATTTCTCTGTCTCTCCCCCTCCCTTCCACTCTCTCTCTAAAAACAAACACCTGCCGAAAACGGTGTGGCTCAGTGGATAGAGCGTCGGTCTGCGAACTGGAAGGTCCCAGGTTCGATTCCCGTCAAGGGCATGTACCTTGGTTGCGGGCACATCCCTGGTAGAGGGTGTGCAAGAGGCAGCTGATCGATGATTCTCATCAATGTTTCTAATTCTCTATCCCTCTCTCTTCCTTTCTGTAAAAAAAAAATAATATATATATATTTAAAAAATCTGACTTTAAAAAAATTAAAATAAAAACAAACACCTGTTAGATATTTCTCATTAAGAGAAAAAAAGCTTTCTTTCGATCCCCATGCTCTTCTCGGTTCCTCGTCGGGGTTGGTTTGCTCTGCTCCCTGGCTCTTTAGGGAGGCGTTTCCTCACCTGTCAGTGCTCCTGGCGTGTCCGTGTTTCCCAGGAGGCGCAGCAAAGCTGACCCGGGTTGGGGCTCACGTGAGGGAGTGGCCTGGCTTTGTCCGGGGCAAACCCCACAGGCCAACGGCCACAGGGGCTGTTCTCGGGACAGCCGACTCGGAGGGCAGTTCTCCCGCCCGCTGGGCTGCTGGGAAGCATGGACCTGCCTGTGTGCTGGGCTCTGGGGAGCCGGGCGGGGAGGGGAGTGAGGGCCTTTCCCTGGAGGAGAGAGCTTCTCCCTCCGCCCCCTCTTCTCCCTGAGGGTGACTTCTCCCTTACCCCCTCCGCCCTCCCCGGGTTCAATGTCGCCAAAGGGTAAGCCTGTGACCCGGGGCAGCTGTGCGGGGTGGGAGCTGCGGGGCTGTGCACGTGGAGAAGGGCCGAAGGAGGAGGGTGGGACTCCCTGTGTGCCTTCCCCATGCCCCCTGTTCCCGTTCTCCGGGCGTTTTGCGGGTCTGCATTCAGAGACTGTGAGTCTAGTTCCTAAGCTTTGCCGTGGGTTCTGCTACAGCCATCAGCTGGCTTTTTTTTTTCTTTCTTTTTTTTCTTTTCTTTTTCTTTCTTCCCTCTGGCTCCAACGGTGTCTTTCCCAGGTCTGGTAAGTCAGTTACCGTCCCTCCCCTGGCTCTCCAGTTTCCCACATGTGGGCTTTAAAAATACAGATTCTTACTAACCTCAGAGCAGAAGGGAGAGTGAGAGAGGGAAGAGACATCAATGGTGAGATTCACTGATCGGCTGCCTCCTGCACGCCCCATCCTGGGGATCGAGCCCGCGACCCGGGCGGGTGCCCTTGACTGGGACTGAACCGTGACCTCCTGGTTCATAGTTCGGTGCTCGACCACTGAGCCACACTGGCTGGGCCCATATGGCGACTTTTCTTGTTTGCTACTGTCTCCTGTCTTCCTCCTCGGGCGTGAATTCATGTTTACTATGAGGTGACACACTACTTGTGGAGCAGGTTTGGACTGACAGAGAAACTGGGCAGCAGGGAGTTTCCACATACAGTCAGGCACCGTTTAACGATGGGGGTACATCCTCAGACCACGTGACATCAGGTGGCTTTGTCGTGTGCAAACCTCATGGAGGCGGTCAGGCAAGCTTAGGTGGTCTACCCGCTGCACACCGAGGCCGTGAGCTCTAGCCTCATGGTCGGCAAACCGTGGCTCTCGAGCCACAGGCGGCTCTTTGCCCCCTTAGGTGTGGCTCTTCCACAAAATACAACAGCCTGGGCGAGTCTGTTTTGAAGGAGTGGCATTAGAAGACGTTTAAGTTTAAAAAAAAAATGTGGCTCTCCGCGGAGACTGGTTTGGCTCAGTGGATAGAGCATCAGCCTGCGGACTGAAAGGTCCCAGGTTCGATTCTGGTCAAGAGCATGTACCGTGGTTGCGGGCACATCCCCAGTAGGAGGTGCGCAGGAGGCAGCTGATTGGGTGGAGCGCAGGCTGCGGACCGCGGGGTCCGGTATTGGATTCCTGGTCCGGGCATATGCCGGGGTTGCGAGCTCCATCGCCAGCAGGGGGCGTGCAGGAGGCGGCCGGTTGATAATTTTCTCTCATCATTGACGTTGTCCCCGCCGAAATCAGTAAAACTTCAACACACCCACCCACCCCGCGGGCCACCAGGAAGTAAGGCGGCCGGAAGGCGCCCCCGGGGTGCCGGGCCGCGTTCTGTGCGGGTGGAGCCCGGGGGCCTTGGAGGGAGGATGGCCCCCATCCCCGCGCTGGTTCCAGGTGAACGGAGGTCCCGCGAGTGACGGGCACTGTCTCCCGCGTCCGCAACCCCGCGCGCCACGTAGTTGGCGCCTCGCTCCTCGCGCCGGACGGAAAGCCAATCCCGCGGCCGGGATGGCACGGCCGCAGGGCGCGGGGAGGCTGAGCCCGGAGCCCAGACGGCGGGTTTCCGCGCGGCACCTGCGGCCTCCCAGCGCCCGGAGCTCTGCCCGAGGGCGACGGCCCCGGCCCCGGCGTCCCGCTCGCAGCCAGCAGGGGGCGCCCGGGCCCGCGCGCGCCCCGCCAGGCGCGAGGCTCCGGGGTGGGAGCGAGGCTGGGACCCGGGCCCAGGCGCCACCTCCGAGGTCCCGGCTGTGCCCGCCCGGTGCGCCCCCCGCGGGAACCGGCGCCGGGACGCCCAGGCCCCGGGGACGGCGCAGGGCCGCTCTGGGGAAGTGGAAAGAGACCCGAGAGGAGGGGAGAGGGGAGGAGAGGAGGAGAGGAGAGAGGGAAAAGGAGAAAAGGAGGAGAGAGGGAAAAAGAGGAGAGAGGGAGGAGGAGGAGAGAGGGAGGAGGAGGAGAAAAGGAGGGAGGAGGAGGAGAAAAGGAGGGAGGAGGAGGAGAAAAGGAGGGAGGAGGAGGAGAAAAGAAGGAAGAGGAGGAGAGAGGGAGGAGGAGGAGGAGAGGAGGAGGAGAGAGGGAGGAGAAGGAGGAGGAAGAGAGGGGAGGAGGAGGAGGAGAAGAGAGGGAGGAGAAAGAGGAGGAAAGGAGGAGGAGGAGGAGGAGAGAGGGGAGGAGGAGGAGGAGAGAGGGGAGGAGGAAAGAGGGAGAAGGAGGAGGAGACGCCGCAGGAGGAGGAGGGAAGGCGGCCGCGCTGCCCCGCCCAGCGAAGCCGCGGGAGCGCCGGGAGCCCCCGCCCCGCCGCGCCGCCCCCGCCTCCCGCGCCTTCCGCCCGCACCTTGGGCCGTAGGTGCGCCGATCGGTCGGCGGAGCGGCCCGGCCGGAGCGGCTCCGGGCTCTGCGTCCATCAGCCCCTCCGTCGCCGCGGGAGCTGCCCGGAGGCGTCATGTAGCCGCACCGCGACCCTCCCGCCGATCGGCCACTGCTGACTTGTTTGTATTTATTTTTTGGGGGAGGGCGTCGGGGGCGCGGCCACACCTCTCCCCGGCCCGCCTCCTCGCGCCTCCGGTCCGCGCGCCGCACCGCCTCTCCAGCCGCGGGTCGGGGAGCGCGGGCGGCGGGTCCCCGCGCAGGAGCCATGGCCGAGGACGGCGCCGAGGTGCCCCGCGAGCTGACAGGTGAGGCCCCGCCCGGTCCTCGCGCGGCGCCCGGGCCGGGATCCCCGGGAAGTTCGCTCGCGTCTGGCGCCCAGGAGCCGAGTCCCGGGAGGCCGGCGGGGGGCGATCGGACGCCCGGCGCCGCCTCGGGCCGCCGCCAGGGGGTGCAGGCCGGCGGCGGGGTGGGTGCCCGGTCTCCGGAGCTGCGGAGGCGAGGGGACCCCTCACCGCGCCCGCCCGCGGGCCCCTCGGGATGTGCGGGGCGCGGGGCGCGCTGGAGGGGCCGTCGGCAGGTCCCCCCCCGCCCGCCGGAGTCCCAGCCGGAGGCACCCGCCAACCCGCACACCCGGGAGGGGCGCGGGCTGGGGTCCGGACTCCGCCGGGGAGGCCGGGCCTGGGCTGGGCGCCGGGAGCGAAAGGGTCACCGGCTGCGCGGACGGGCGGAAGCCGGCGGGGCGCGGAGCCCGGTTTTCATGGTAACGAACCACCTGGGCCCGCCCGTCCCGGAGCCTGCGTGGCACCTGGTGCCCGCGCCCGAGCGCCTGGGCTTCCGTGTGGGGAGCGGTGGGGGCTCCGTGTTATGCCTTGGGGTCGACTTAAGTTTTGTGGGGGCTGAGACGGCAGCGGTAGAATGTGGTGGGGGCCGCTCTGAAACCAGGGGTTCAGTGCGTGTGTGTGTGTGTGTGTGATGTAGTGTGTGTAAGGTATATTGCATGTGCGTGGCGTAGTGTGTACACGTGTGTGATGTATGGAGTGTGTGTGCGCCTGTGTGATGCTGTGTGATGTTGCACTGTGGGTGCGTGTGCTTTGAGCCCCAGGGACCTGAACCCCGGGATCCCATTCCTGGCGCCCGGGCCTGCGGGTGTCCTTCCGGCTCCTGCCCAGGAGGGGTTCGCCGCCCCCCCTTTCCCCGCCCCCCTTTAGTCCCCGCACTTTGGGGAGTCTGCGGCGGCGTGCGTGGTGTGAGATGTGTGGAATGTGTGCGCTCCTCTGTCAGGTGAGCCTGACCGGAAGGGCTGCCGCCAGGTCGGAGTGGGAGCTGCTTGTGCACGGATTTCGTTCGGGTCTGGAGTCTCCCTCCGCCCGCCTCTCCCCCGCCTCCTCCCTCTGTCCGGCGGTGGCGTCGGGCCCGCAGATAAGAATCAGCTCCCTGAGCTCCGGGGAGCCAGCGAGCGGTCTGTCCGGTTCTGGAGGCCGGGACCTTCCCCACACCCCCCCACACCCGGCCCCGAAGAGGAAGCGCTGGGGCCCCCAGCTGCCCGTGGAGGTCCCAGGTCCCGGGAAGAGGGGACCAGGGCCCCTAAGGGGTGGGGGTGTGGGGGGGGAGGGCCAACTTCCCAGTCAGCTGCGGAGCCTGCAGGGAGTGTGGCCCTGGGACCCCAGAGAGAGGCTGAGAACACTCGAGAGACCTTGAGTGGCAGCTGCAAGGTGTGGGCACATCCCCAAAGGAGTGCAGCCCCCAGACCAGGTGCAGGGCCTAAGGAAGGGTCACTCTGCGTAGGGCGGGGGCGGGGCTGAGAGGCCGGAGGTCGGGAACTTGGTTTTGGTGAGAGGTTCTGAGGCCTGGAGGGTCACGGCCAGGGGTCAGGAGGTGTTTAGGAGGGAGTTTTCGGGGAGGGGAGACTTGGATACTGTGTGCAGAGGAGGAAGCTGTCTTGCGTGGCTGTCCAGGGTGGGTGCTCATGGGGAGTCCCAGGGAGACCTTCCTACCACCATCTACATTGCCAGGCCTCCCCTTCTCTCTCAAGCCTCCAGGTCTGTTGCCTCCCGCCCCCTCACTCGATATATTTCCATTGATTTTTAGAGGGAGAGGGAGAGGGAGAGACAGAAAAACACTGATGTGAGAGAGACACACTGATTGGTTGCCTCCTGTATGAGTCCTGACCAGGGCCCGGGAACTTACAACCAAGGCACGTGGCCTTGACCGGAATTGATCAGTTGGCAGGCCCATGCTTATCCACTGAGCTACACCATCCAGGGCATGAAACCAATAATATATATAAAAACAAGCAAATACCTTACAGAAGGCAAACAGCAACAAAACACCCAAATCCTCCTCCAAACGCCCCCGCCCCCGGCGCTGTTGTCACTAGAGGACGCTGACGAGTCTGCCTTCTTCCAGAGAGCATCAAGGACGTCCTCGGCAGGAAGGTCAGGATCGCCCTGAAGAAGAAGGTCAGGTTGGAAGTGAAAGGGGACAAGCTTGAAAACAAGGTGCTGGTAAGTGCTCCGGCTCTTTCGGGAAAGCCTGCGGAAGCGGAAGCGGAAGCGGGCCCCCCTCCGGACCGCCTCGCTGCCATGGGCCCTGGTCCTGTTTCACCTTTGGCTCACAAGTCCCCAGGACCGTGCTGCCCTGGAGTCCCCGGAGGGGGCGCGGGAAGTTCAAGTGGAAGGGGCCGGACTGTTTCCACAGCGGTGCTTTGTGGGGTGGAGTTGTGAGCATCGCCATGTTTAGGCCCTGAGCCTGCTTTCCCATTGGTCCCCTGAGCCTGCTTTCCTATTGGCTCCCTCCCAGCCTGCTTTCCTATTGGCCCCCCGAATCTGCTTTCCCATTGGCCCCCCCTCCAGCCTGCTTTCCCATTGGCCCCCCGAACCTGCTTTCCCATTGGCCCTCCTCCAGCCAGCTTTCCCATTGGCCCCCGAGCCTACTTTCCTATTCGGCAGTGCGGGATGCGCGGTGGACCATCCGGTCATCGCTGTGGTGGTGGTGTGTGGTCTGATTGGTGAGGATGTAGGAAGAGGTTTCCTCAAACAAAATGGCCTGGGTCGGCTCGGGATTGAATGAGCTTTTCCCAAAGGCGGTGCCCGCGTCCGCCTCGTGGGTGAGGAGTGGGATGGGGAGAAGGTGGCCCTTTGCCGCCGTGTTCTGGTGTCTTGGCGGGAGGTGCCCGCTGGGGGCGGCGCCTGTGGGGGCTGAGATGGACCTCGGGGTTCTGGCCACGTTGCTGGGGGCTGAGGGGTGGGACTCGCTGGGCACAGCTGGGCACTATAATGAAGTTAGCGTCATTTTAGTACTCAATGCCAAGCTTTTTTTTTTTGGGGGGGGGGGGAGAGAATGGGTGTGGGGGTCCTTCTTGACCTCAGCTGGCTCCGGTGAAGGCTGTAAGGAAATGACACCAGCGCCAGGATGTGAGCGATGGTCCCCGGGACCTGGACTCTGAGCAGGTCCTCGAGTCCCCGCGGAAGCTGTCCTGGCGGGAACGTGTCCCTGTACGGGCGGGAAGGGAAATATTCACGGTCCCTTGCCGAAGCTGGTTTGGCTCAGTGGTAGAGTGTCGGTCTGCGGACTGAAAGGCCCCAGGTTCGATTACGGGCATGTACGTTGGTTGCGGGCACATCCCTGGTAGGGGGTGTGCAAGAGGCAGCTGGTCGATGTTTCTCATCTACATTTCTAGCTCTCTCCCTTCCTCTCTGTAAAAAAATCAATAAAATATATTAAAAAAAATGTTCACAACCCCACTAGCTTCAAGTTTGAGCAGGACAGCCTATGCATTAGCCGCCTTTAGGTTGTGGATTTAGGAGTCCCTGAATTTTGAGAAAGCCAGTTACTCATTTGCTTACACGAGACATTGGGGACTGCCTTGTCATTGGCATTTCTGACTTCCTGTTGGCCCTTAGGTCACGAATGAGCCGGCCCGGTACTTTCCAGCTTTCTTTCCTGAGTCTGTGTCTCCCCTGCACACCTCCCCTCCTGCAGGGTGGTCCTTGCAAAGCCAGGAGGGTTTTATGTCGTTACTAGCTTCCCGTTCTCCCACCAGGAGATTTTACACCATTTCCAGCTTATCTTTTGCTCAGGGTTTATCTTCTCCTTCCTTCTGCTCACGGCCATCGGAGCTAATATTTATTGAACATTGACCGGCAGCGAGGCCAGGCCGTGGGCGGAACCCTTAATTATGCATTTCCTTGTTCCATCCCAGCAGCCCTGTGGGGCCAGCACTGCTTACTTCACTGGAAGGACTGAGAGCTGAGGGAATTTGCTTCCGGTCACCCAGCTAGTTAACGGCTAGTTAAGGACTAGTTAATAACAGTCAGCTGTGCCTCACGCAGAGCCTGCCTGCTTTGTCATGTGCTCAGAGTAAGAAGAATTTGGCTGGTCCTTCTGAGGTTGCGGATTTTCAGCCTTCATCAGGGAGACTTGGGTCTTAGACAGATCGGCATCCCTGATTATTTGATTTGATCTCCTTGATCCATGTTTTAACTTGTTCCTGACTCTCTGAGCACCTACTGTGTGGCAGACACGTAGCATGCACAGAGTGCATGTAGATTCTAACTATGTGCACTTTGTACGATATATTTTATTGATTTTTTACAGAGAGGAAGAGAGAGGGATAGAGAGTGCCTTCATGGGACTCAGAGCTCAGTCTAGTGGAAGGCACACAGGCCAACAGGCAGCGCTGGGACAAGTGCCCTGAACACGGGGACCGCTGCTCATAGAGGGACCCTAACTCAAGCCGGAGGGTCGGGGGTGACTCCCAGAAAAGGGGGGTGGAGGCCCACACCGATGAGTGGGTCAGCCAGCCAAGGGTAGATGCCTGTCCAGAACAAAGGGAACCGTTTGGGCCTGGAGGCAGGGGGAGGGGGAGGGGGTGAGCTCCGAGTATTAGGGACCCGGGCAGAGGGCTCCCTCTTCTCCTGGCGGCTAAAGTGCAGGTGAAAGGTGGGGCAGGTTAGACAGGTGCCTTCTCCACACCGGTGTCCATTGCCATTCCCCCTCCCTCCTCCCTCCTCCATCCCCCCTCCCTTCTCCGGGAGGAAGTGGGCCCAGCGCTGAAGGCCTTGGAGCCAGACCTGCTCTCCCCTGCCCAGCCCCTTGCAACAATGTCGCCCCCAGTTTGCAACAATGTCGCCCTCAGTCCGCTCTCCCTGTAGCACCTGCTCCTGTATGGGTCTGTAAGCCCTGGCTCTGGAGATTAGCTGGGACACAGTGAATTCTGCTGAGCACAGCGCTGAGCGCATGGGAAACTCCGGGCAGAGAAAGCCCTGAGAAGCGGGGGTGGGGAGGTGGGGATGGGGGAGGGTGGTCTCGCCTCCACTGAGGGGTGGCGCTCATTCTCCCCAAGGCCAGGAAGGCCTCATAGCAGCGTGGATGCACCAAACAGACCCCAAGTCCCCGCCGTGTCCTTTGGGCAAAGTAACCAGGTGCCCACGTGCCCAGGGATCACCTGAGCTTGTCCATCAGGATGTTCGAGATAAACCAGTGGCTGCTGTGGGGCGTGCCCAGCCGCTAACACACCTGTGAGGTTTCTAGGGATGAGGGAGAGGATACGTCTTCCCTAAGCTGATTGGTCCAGAGCCCCCATGGCCGTGGGGGGAGGGGGGCGAGCGGCCTGGCCAGCTGGCGTGGGCTCCCACCTGAGGCCTGCCGTCCCGGGAACGGCCCTCGGGCCCTGTCCTGTGTTCCTGTGTTTCTGAGACGCGTATTCCCTTCTGCCATCAGCTAATTGGATCTCCACCCACTTTTGTCAGGACCCGGACTTTCATTTTTTAAAATAGGTTTTATTGATTTTTTATAGCAAGGAAGGGGGAGAGAGAGTTAGACACATTGATGAGACACATTGGTCAGCTGCCTCCTGCACACCCCCCACTGGGGATGTGCCTGCAACCCAGGTACATGCCCTTGACTGGAATCGAACCTGGTACCCTTGAGTCTGCAGACCGATGCTCTATCCACTGAGCCAAACCGGTCAGGGCAGTACCCAGACTTTTAAACATGCCTTTTAATTGACGAATTCTTTTAAGATGGGACTTTCTGCTTTTCTGTAGTTGTAGGTTACGTGGGGTTATAAGGAACAACACAGAGGGAGCCTTCACTCCCTCGTCCTGTCTCCGCTACCGTGTGAAGCTGAGACACAGCGTCACAGCCCAATGCCAGCGCCCGTCCCCAAGGGCAGCACCCTCCCATACCACGCCCCGCACTCTCACTGAGCCTCATCGTCACTCAGCTGTTTTATAATGTTCAAAAATGTGTGTTTCTGTTGATTTCAGAGAGGAAGGGAGAGGGAGAGAGGGAAACATCAGTGATGAGAGAGAATCATGGATCGGCTGCCTCCTGTCTGCCCCCCACTGGGGATGGAGCCCACAACCCGGGCCTGTGCCCTGACCGGGAATCAAACCCTGACCTCCTGGTTCCCAGGCCGAATCAAACCCTGACCTCCTGGTTCCCAGGCCGTCGCTCAACTGCTGAGCCACGCCGGCTGGGTTTATCCTTGATGTTTCTATCTCTCTTTCCCCTCCCTTCCTCTCTGAAATCAATATTTAAAAAAAACCAAATAAAAACATAACTTTCCCCGGAGCTCGTAAAGCAGTGGTAGTTTAAGAGTGTGCGCGCATTTCGCAAGTTTATTGTTCAAGTCGAAGTGGCAGGAGCCCAGTCAGCGGTTTCCGGGGCCACTTGGGTGAACGGCCTTAGACCCTGGACTTTGTCGGGGCTGCAGGGATGGAGGCGCCCCGTTCCCCAGCCAGCGGGCGGATGTGGGGGGCTCAGAGGCAGCTCGGGACGCCCTCACGCCCCTGCCGACCTGCCAGTGCGTCCCTGGTGCCGCCCTGCCGTCCCGGCTCCTGTTGGACCTCCGCTGACCTTCCCGCCGGCATTTGCAGGTCGCATGGCACCTGAAGAGGCTGCTGGGACAGCGAGCGTGGCGGGCCGCCCCCTCCCCCCTGCGGCGCCCGGCCCCGGTGGGGGTAACTTGAACGGGGGTAACTCTTTGCGACACCACAGGAGCCTCGGCTTTTCGGGATCGCTTACGATCCAGGCCGGGTGGTTCTCAGGGCGCGGGGTGAAGTTACAGGTGGAGAAAACTGAGCTTGGGAAACGGGAGGCGCGGAGAGCCCCCTTGCTGCCAGGGTCCAGGCGAAGTTCACCGTCCGTCAGTCCATCGAGGGCCTTGGAAGGCACCCCCCTCAGAGCCCTGTCCCCTCCCCCGAGCCTGGCGGCCTGAGTGCAGCTCGCCTCCCCCCACAGGCCAGGCCTCCGTGAACCTGCTACCTGAGCCCCATGACGTCCTCCTCTCTCTTCCCCAACTGCCCTACTTTCTGCGCCAGCGCGGGCGGGTCGGATGACCTTGGGCTAGGAGCCCTTGAACCTGGACCAGCCTGGTGTAACTTTTCCTTGTTCTTGAAAAGATACGGTCGCCCCGCCTCCGGGATTTAGCCCCCCTGGGACGTGGGGGAGGGTGAGGGGGAGGGGACGAGGGCCCCGAGGAGCCTGGAGTCCTAATCAG